GATGAGCAGCTCTGCCCCAGGGGAGGCCACGGAGCCGACGGCCACTCCCGGTGGTCAGTATGGCCCTTGCTGTGGATACGGGTGCAGAGAACTGACCCTTTGGCCAGAACCATGGGCCGTGGGGGCCAGGCTTCAGTAGCCCAGGCCAGGTCTTGGGAGGGATTGTTTGTCCAGTGATTCAGAGAAAATAAATAAATGCGGGAAGGCTCCAGATCACGCAGCCCCGCCGCAAAACCAAATTTACTCTGCCCCCTCCCCACCCAGAAGGCCCGGCAGGGTCTCTGCCCCCTCCAGGCAGGGGCTGCCCAACCTGCCATGGGGATGGCCCCACGGCTCTCCCTCGGGCCCCTGGTCAAGCCGCGAAGAAACATAAGACTCCTTCCTCCTATTGTGTAAGTTCCTGGCTTGGTAAAAATCCACCCGAAGCCTGTGCTTTCTGTCAACAGCCTCCGATAATTCCTGTGTCAGTTTCCCAGCCCCGCCCTGGACGCTGCCCTTCCGAAGCCACAGTGTTTCCGCGTTTCCTGGTCCCAGCACTGAGAAGGTCTATTGTCCTTCTGTGAAATCATTCTCCCATTCCCACATGAAGCCTAATCAGGCTTCCCAATTCTGCCATGTCCCCCAGAACATCGGCCACCAGGGGCCCGGCCAGGGACTGTCCCGGACCCCAAGGCCACCCGCCTTGGTGAGACAGAGGGTCGCAGGTGGAAAGCTACCATCATTTCTGAACCACCAGGCACGAGAGAGGCTACGTTCAGATGTGTGGAGGTGGCGGAGAGGGCAGAACGTGGCAGCCCCACTCTGTGCTGTGGATGAGGACGAGGAGCCTTGCAGGCCTCCAGTGGCCCCATGTCTAGGAGGAGGGTGGGGCGAGCTGGCACTGAGCTCCCCGCCTGGATGCTGTGGGGGTGCCTGGCCAGGTTCCCCGTTGGGCAGCAGGGCTCTGAGCAGTGGGCCCTAAATGAGCCATTTTACAGTTGGGGGCCTGAGGCACAGGAGGGAAATGTGCCGGTCACTGTGCAGGTTCAGGGCCCACAGTGGGTGCTGCCGGAGTCCAACGCCACCCCTGCTTGGGGCGAAATGTCTGCTCCACGGAGCCCTGGGGTCCCATATGGGCAGGTGTGTGGAGCTGCCCTCCCCTGGCCTCCCCAGGACTGACCCCTGCCTTCCACCTCATGCATCAGGGAGGGTGTGGCCTCCCCAGGCTGACCACAGCAGCCCCGCAGGTCACCTCCCTGGGGCTGTGCCGGAAAACTGGGATGGAAGTGACAGGCGGGGGGCGGAGTGCGATCCCAGCCACGGCCTGCGATGTAGAAACCAGTGGTTCCCACCCCTGCTCACCTGGTCAGTTACTGCCAGGCCAGGGGGTCATGGCTGGGCCCAGGCTGGGTGGGGACCTCTCCTGATGCCGCTAGAGGACAGACTGGGCCGGGTGCCTCCAACAGCATGTGCTGGGCCTGGTGGGGCCGAGGAGCCTGGAGTGTACACACCTGTGGGGGTGTCCGAGGGGCTCCCTGGGAGTTCTGGGGGGTCCTGGGGAGTCCCTGGGAATGGGACCCTCTTCACTTCCTCCTCCAGGGGAAGTGGCCCCGGGTCACCCCAGGCTGTTCCCTCAGCTCTGAGGGGCAGAAGCCATCCACAGGGGGCTTTCCCCACGGGATGCGGTGTGGGCCGGGGTTCACCTCACTTGAGTTAGTCACCCAGGAAGAACGGCTATCCCACGCGATTCCTCCCCGGTTCCGGGCGGCCAGGAGACGGCGTTGCCCTGGGATGCGTCTGGGCCTCCATCGGTCCCAATCCTGTTGTCTCCATGGCAACGCCTGGCTGGGGGCTCCTATCGGGGTGTAAGCCCATCCTTCCTCCAGGGCTCCCAAGTCTGCATTTGTGTGGCACATCCCAGGGAGAGAGGGCACTGGCGGCCGCCCAGGACTGGAGCTATAGGGTCTCCGGCATTGGTGTGCAGAGTGAGGTCCATGGGGCTGCGGTCCCCGCCGAGCCCACGTGCCGTCCCTAAGTGTGGCCTTCCTCCGGCACATCCCACAGAAGCCCTGGAGACCCTCCCCCGCGAGCCCCAGGCACACACCCTCCCCGAAGGAGCCTCTCACCTGAGCGTGGAGGTTCAAGTCAGGAGGGTGGACTTCTCCCCAGTGGGGTCGTCGCCCTTCCCGGGGGCTGAGGCAGGGTCTGCTTTCAGGAATGCACCTGCTTTTCAGACCACCGGCCCCCAGGCCCTGCCGCAGCCCCGCCCACACCACACGCACAGCCGTGCTCACTAAAACCGGCGGTGCTGCAGGCGGGGTGGCCGGGGCATCGGGGCTCTGAGACGCAAGTGCTGTGCTCAGCTGCCTCGGGGGTGGGGGGATCTCAGGGGAGAGGGACCCTGATTTTGAGGGCAAGTCACCAGGCCTACACCTAGTGACTCGGGCCCCAGGCTGGGGGAAGGATCCAGCCGGCCTGGCCAGGGCCCCTGCTGGAAGGTGGCAGGGGCAGTTTCTGTGCAGGATGGGGGGCTGGGAGCTGAGGGGGCCGGAGACTGCATGGAGCCCTCGGGTGGGTGGGACTCCTGGACACATCCTGAGAGCCTTAGGCCTCAGGGAGGATTCCCAGGAGCCAGGCAGCCTGCTGCAGCTCGGCCAGCCCTGCCTGCACCCTCTGAGAGCCCCAGGTAGCCTGCAGTGACCACCTCAGGCTCCCCTCTGAGGCTTGTGGGGTGGCCGGGGACACCAGGACCTTGCTTCCCCTGGGGACACATGGGAATTCCCCCTTCCCCCCACCTCCAGGGCTCAGAAACAAGGCCCGATGGGCTTTCTGGAAAGTTCTGAGTGTGGGCGCCCGGGGCTTAGGCTCCGGAACTGCAGGCTCCGGCTTCAGGCCTCCTGCAGCCTCAGCCTGGTGGGGTTTTCAGGGGACCAGGCGGTCAGCCGGTGGCCCATGTCCAGTGGTTTGGGTGCCTGAACCCCGTTTCCAAGAGAATGCCCAGCACAGCCAGGGGTCACCAATGCTGGCAGGGGGTTGTCACCCCCAGTCTGGACCCCAGCAGTGGCCCTGGGTGCCATCTGGTTGGGGGAGGAGAAAGCTACAGCTGAGACGGCAAGGCCTGAGTGGCCAGCTGCCCCAGGGCCCGGCCCCAGGCATCCAGGGGACACTCCCCTCTGAGTGCCAGGTCAGTGACTCAGATTGGTCAGAGGTCACAGTGAGGACTGGGCCAGTGACTCAGCCTGTCCTCTGCCAGGGGCTGGACACTGGCTCACCCGCTGCCTCCGTCTATCTGAGGGCATAAGGAGGGCAGGCCTGCGGGCACTCACACGTGCCCCTGGCCAGGGTCCTGATCACACCTGCAGACCCTCAAGGCCTTCCCTATGCCCTGCTGACATAATCGCACGGCCCTGGGATCCGGTCCCACCATGGGGCCCATTGTCTAGTACCAGGACCCTTCTCAGCCTTCATCGGCCCCAGGAGACCTGGTGTCCAGTCCTGGGCCAGGGCGGGGGACCGTGGCTACACCTGGTCGGGTCAGACCTCCCGAAGCACCAGGGGCTGCGGCAGTCCACCTAACCCCATCAGCCACTCAGCCTCTGGTGTGAGCACTCAACCACTCATTCATTCATTCACCCATTCACTCATACACTCACTCACTCATCCGTTCCCTCCCTCCCTCACCCACTCATTCATTCATTCACTCATTCACTCATTCATTCACCCATTTACTCACTAATGTACTCATACACTCATTCACTCACCCATATACTCAATCACTCACTCATTGACTCATTCACTCACTTCTCGCTCACTCACTCATTCACTGGCTATCTCATTCATTCACATTCATTCACATTCATTCATTAACTCAGTCACTCAGTCATTCACTCTCTCACTCATTCATTCGCCCACTTATTCACTTCAATCTACCTCACTCACAGATTCACTCATTCATCCAGGTACGCATTCCTTAGCTCATTCAGTCATTTACTCATTCCCTCACTCACTCATTCATTTACTCATTTTCCCTCTCCCTGCACTCCTCCCACATACGAAGGGTTCTCTCTCCAGGCACCTGAGCTAAGACAGGACATGGGGAGGGAAAGGCCCAGAAATGGAGCAGCAGGTGACCGTAAGGAGCTTGGGACAGGTCCCTGGAGCACTGGAAGCGAGTGCTCAGAACAGCCTCAAGGCACCTCTTTGACCCTAACCCCTCTGTAGCTGGGCAGGGGGCCCAGCCCAGCCTCTCCCTTTCCTGCCATTCTTCCCACGGGGGACCTCCTGGGTGGACCCTCCATGTGGGCAGTGGAGCTGCTTGGCTGGGGAGTGTGCTTTCCTGGGAGGGAAAGTCTGGCCCCAGTGTCCAGCCACACACCCGTGATCTGGGCAAGTGCTCATCACACAACGGCACCTTCTCAGCCAGAGCCCATCAGGCCCAAGACTCACTGGGACCTTTCTGTGCTGGGACCAGTCAATAGCTTCCTGTCCGGTGGGTACTGAGCACTCCTGGATCCTGGTGGCCAGAGACCATTACGTGACTTGAGCTGGCCCTGTCTGCCTGGGGCCAGGAGACAGAAGCGCAGGTGGACTCCTGGGCAAGGCTGGAAGGGAGCTGCGTGGTCGGGGAGGGGCTGCTGTCAGGAGCCCCTCTCCAGGGAGGGTGATGCTGGCTGGTGCCACGTCAGGGGGAGCATGTGGCCGGCTTCAGGGACATCTGGGCTTCACAGTCACTGGGAACTCACAGGCTGCCCAGGGAGAGTCCAGGGTGGGGTATGTGGGGGGGACCTCTGCATGCCAGGGCTAGGGGGAGCCCTTGGAAACTGGGCCCTTCCCGGCAGACACGCCCCTCTCCGCCTGCCACCAGCCACTGGCCAGCCCGCAGTGAGCACCCACTGTTTACTTGGGTGAGGGGGAAGCACAGGCCCGCCACGCCTATTCATGAGAAGCACGGGCTGGAGCCGGCTCTGGGGCTACAAAAGGCTCCTGCCACCTCAGGTCCCTCCTCAGAGGCTGCCACGGGGACTCCTCCTGCCATCCACGCGATGGGTGTTGGCCGGAGGAAGCTGGGCCTGCTCTGGGCCCTGGCTCTCGCCCTGGCCTGCACCGGGCATACAGGTATGGCTTGCGCCCTGGCTGCTCCACCAGTCCTGGGTGGCGCGGTGCCGAGTGGGCCTTGGGCAGCTCCGTCTTTGCCCTGGGTTCTGCAGGCTGCCTGTGCCGTGGACGGCTCCCAGCAGCATGGCCTCTGCTGTGGTCCTGGCCACCAACAGGCAGTTTCCACCTCGTGGGTTTGGGAAGGGACCTCCGGGCTTCAGTGACCTCCGAGGCTGGGCCGCTTCCTGAGGTGGGGAAGCAGGAGCTCAGGTCTCAGGCTTCCACCCCTCAACAGGCAGCAGCACCCACAGTAGCTCCGGCAGCTCACAGCCCCCACGACCTGGTCAGGGCAGGGCATCAGCCCCAGGCATCTGCCCTTGGACACCCCACACATGCCCAGTGCACCAGCTCACGCTCCCTGTCTGGGCCTCGATGGGGGTCTCCTGGGGGGGGTCTCAGCCTCTGAGTGGGAATGTGATGGTGAAATCCACAGGGAAAGGGTTTCACCCCCAGCCTGAGGCTAAGAGGGGGATGGGGGAGGCTCCAGGCCCTGTGGTCTGGACAGCCCCTCACTGGGCCAGCAGGTCCCTGCCTCTGCTTCTGGGGGACAGCTTGTCCCAGGACGGGTCTGCTGGTGACCATGTATGCTTGGGGAGTTGCCTGGGTCGGGAGTGGGTGCTCCTGGGCTCCTGGAACAGCAGGGCGGGGACCTCAGCACCACAGAGGTGGCCACATGGCCCAGCCAGATCCCCCACTGGGCCCTGTCCCCAGCCTCTGAACCATCTGAGTCCCCCTCCCAGCCTCATCCCCAGCCTCTGGCCCACCCAGGTCCCTCGCCTGGCCCTGTCCCCAGCCTCTGGCCCACCCAGGTCCCTTGCCGGGCCCTGTCCCCAGCCTCTGACCCTCTGCGAGGCAGTCCCAGAGCAGGAAGAACCCTGCTGGAACCCTCCCATCTCAGCCTAGAAGCCTGAATTCTCTCCTGGGGCTGGGCCTGCGGGGCTCAGAAAGTGGGGGCAGGCCTGCGGCCAGACTGGGTGAGTGAGGCTCAGGCAACAGTCTCCACCTCCCGAGGGGGGCTTGCAGACGCTAAGGGTCGCCACCCACAGATCCGATGTGCTGGGTCCTGCTGGGGGCAGACACCTCCCGTGGCTTTGATGGCCCCAGGCCCTCAGTGGGGTCCCTGCACTGGCAGGAGCCAGGGCCTGGCATGGGAATGAATAGATGGGGATGCCAGATAGAGGCAAGGGGTCCCTAACACCACCTGCTCCATGGGGCCGGGCTGAGGGAATGCTCCTGGAGGGTCAGAGTTCCAAGTCACATGGACAGAGGCTCCCAGGAACCCCTGATCCAGCACAGAGAGAGCCCTCGCTGCCGGCCACCCCCACACACTGTGGCCTCCTGCCCCTCTGGTGTCCGCGATGCATCGTGGTTGCAGGCTGAGCTGCCCCAGCCGCCCTGCATCCTGGCTCAGCCCCCTCCTCTTCCCACAGGCCACGCCCAGGATGGCTCCTCGGAATCCAGTTACGAGCACCACCCCGTCCTCCCTCCCGTTGCCCAGGGGCCCGGCGGTGAGTCTCAGCATCCGGCTGCCACCCTAGGCCTGTCAGATTCCACCCTCCCCTGTGTGGCACAGCCCCTGGAGGCACTGGTGTTAGGGTGACTCCCTGGTTGGCCACTGCTGAGGACCAAACCTGGGGGGACAGGAGGACACCCCCAGGTCCACGTCCATGGCCCTGGTGGGCCACACTGCCTGCCCTCCCTGGGCACCCTGCAGGGCTCTGGCTCTGAGGGGCTGCAGGGCAGGGCAGGTTGGCTGTGCCAGTGTCCCCTGGGCGTCGGCCGCCCTCCGGGATCTGGAGGTGGGTCCTGCCTTGGCGTCCCCCGTTCACCACCTGACGCTTTAATAATGCGTGCTTCTCCCTTGGCGTGGCCGCCCCGAGTGGCTGGTGCTGGCGGGAGCCGGTGGAGGCAGGGGAGGGAGGTCAGAGCAGGAGCTTCGGGCAGACCATGGGTCTCAGATTGCATTTCTCCGCTTTGGGCCAGACCAGCCTCATCTCAGCGCCCAAGAGATTGTCTTGAGCGGCTGATGAGACTCAGGTTCTGAGGCCCGTGGGGTGAGAGCTGGCCACCGCCGGGGCTTTTCCACGGCAACAGCCGGGAGGAATTAGAAAGTCACAGCGAACACAGGTGTGCGGCCGCAGCACACAATGTTCAGACAGGGTGGGGGATGGGGACCCAACTCGTAACAGAGTCCAGAGTCGGCTTTGGAGGCGGGAGCCTCTGGGAAGTCTCCTCGGGGCTGTGGAGCCCCCACTCCCCCCAACCTGGGGCCTCATGTGCACCCTGCCAGCCGCTGTTTCCACAGGTGTCCCGCTCCGAGGGGTGACCATCTTCCCGCCTATGAGGACAGTCCCTGTGGTAAGAGGTGAGTGGAACCCCAGGCCCCGGGGTGAAGGGGCATAGCTTTGCTGAGCTCCTGGCTCAGGCCTGGGGATGCCAGCTGGAGAGGGGCCCCAGCTTTCTGGGTGCCACTGGGTAGGAACTAGAGAGGGCCCAACACCTCCCTGCACAAGCTTCCGGACTTCCCAGATGCAGGAAGGACCCCCGGGTGCTCTGTCCAGGGCAGCAGCACCTCCTGCAGGACATGGGTGGGTCAGGGGTGCAGGGCAGGGTGGGGGGTGCAGGGTGAGGGCGGGGGGTGTGGGGCGGGAGGGTTCAGGGCAGGGGCGGGAGGTTCGAGGCGAGGGCAGCACCCTCAGACCCCACACTGCTTCCCCCGCAGCCTCCAACCCGGCGCACAACGGGCGTGTGTGCAGCACGTGGGGTGACTTCCACTACAAGACCTTCGACGGCGACGTCTTCCGTTTCCCCGGCCTCTGCAACTACGTGTTCTCCGAGCACTGCGGCGCCGCCTACGAGGACTTCAACGTGCAGCTGCGCCGAAGCCGGGAGTCGGGCTCCCCCGCGCTGAGCAGGGTCCTCATGAAGGTGGACGGTGTGGTCATCCAGCTCACCAAGGGCTCCGTCCTGGTCCACGGCCGCCCGTGAGCCTGGGCTCTGGGAGGGCGGGGGCCTCTCAGGGTGCGGGGATGGCATTTCCGGGTGTTCATGGCTCATCGCAGGCCTGGGAGGGAGGTGGACCTCTTGGCAAGCCCCTGAGAACAGAGCTGGACATGGGCCCCCTGGTCCCCCGAGCTGGCCCGCCTGCCCCTCCTGGGATCCGCTTCCTAGCTCCTCGTGACCCCAGAGCTCCAGAGGTCACTGTCCCCATCCCAGACGTGACTTCACAGTCCCGATGACCTTGTCACACTCGAGGCTGCAGGCATCTGCCCTGCCTGGGGTCTCTTCTCACCATGCTCCCCAGCCCCTCAGCCTCGCCTCCCTCTGCAGGGTCCAGCTGCCCTTCAGCCAGTCTGGGGTCCTCATTCAGCAGAGCAGCAGCTACACCAAGGTGGAAGCCAGGCTGGGCCTTGTCCTCATGTGGAACCACGATGACAGCCTGCTGGTGAGGCTGGTGGGGGGTCCGGGTGTGCACCTCCAGCCCTCAAGAGCTGGCCTGCTCCATAGCCTCTCCAGAGGGGGTAGAAGGTGCCCAGGGCCCAGTCAGGCTCGGACCCCACCGCACACAGCAGGAGAGAGCAGGGGCCCAGACACCCATGGGGCCCTGGGGTCTGTGCCCCCCGGATGGAGACAGCTTGCGGGGGCGTCTCCTTCGGGGGCTCCAGCCCCTCCCCGAGCCTCACCTGTCCACCTGCCCCTGGTGGGGACGTGCGTCTGACGTCTCCCCCATTACAGCTGGAGCTGGATTCCAAATACGCCAACAAGACCTGTGGGCTCTGCGGGGACTTCAACGGCCTGCCCGTGGTCAGCGAGCTCCTCTCCCACAGTAAGCCCCACGTGACATCGGCCCTTCCCCGGCGTCCCCGGAGGTTCCGTGTCCCAGAACCCCCAGTTGTGTGCACACCGACCCTCCGACACGCCAGACACACACGTGCATGGATGCAGCTGCCTCCCTCCAGCACGGCGCACACTCGCACACAACGTCCCGCTGCCCCCACTCAACGCCGGGTGCAGGCGGGCAGCAGATTGCCCGTGGGGCCCCTTGCTCTCAGTGTGGCTGCTCTGGGCAGCGACCCCTGACTGCACACCCTCACCTGAAATGACAGAGCTGCCTCGTCTCGGCCCTACAGTCTTTGTACCCAGACAGTGGCCCTGCAATGTGACCTGCTCCGGCCAGGGCCCCACGCCCCGCCTCCCCGGCCAGGCCCAGGAGGCCCCACTCAAGCCCCGGTACGGGGTGACCCTCCGTGGGGAACTGAGTCAGCCTGATGTTGAGCAGTCCTTGGCGAGGCAGGCTAGCACTGGGGTGACTGGGCTCTGCCAGTAGACTGGCAGGTGCTCAGCTGCTCCCGCCAGCCCGGCAGGCTGAGACCAGGGTCCTGGGTCCTGTGGCCTGGACACCGGCCTCCTGGGTGCTTCCCCTCATCACTCCAGGCCCCCGAGGGTCCCACGGCAGCATGTATGGGGCAGCCAGACGGGGATAGCCCGGACCACTCAGGCATCCTGAGGGTGCAGGGGCCATCGACGGCCCTTCTAACCCCACTGCGGGGACCCGGCCCTGGGGGCTCTGCTGCTCTGCTGGGCTGAGGGGTACTGGGACCTGCAGGCAGAGCCCGCCTCTGTGCTTCCTGCAGACACCAAGCTGACACCCATGGAGTTCGGGAACCTGCAGAAGATGGACGGCCCCACAGAGCAGTGTCCCGACCCTGTCCCTGAACCCCCGAGGAACTGCTCCACTGGCTTTGTAAGCCTTGGAGGGAACAGGGCCCCAGCAGGGTGGGAGGAGGGGCTGTGAGCCTGGGAGCTGGTCCAGGTCCCCCACAGGGACTCACCCGGCTGCGGCCTTCGCCCCAGGGCATCTGTGAGGAGCTCCTGAGCAGCCGGCTGTTCTCCGACTGCACGGCCCTGGTGGACGTGGGCAGCTACCTGGAGGCCTGCAGGCAAGACCTCTGCTCCTGCGAAGGCACCGACCTGTCCGGCTGCGTCTGCCACACCCTCGCCGAGTACTCCCGGCAGTGCGCCCACGCGGGGGGTCTGCCCCAGGACTGGCGGGGCCCGGACCTCTGCCGTGAGTGCCCTGGCCCGCTGTCCCCCATCTCCTCTGGCAGGGAGGGCAGGACGGGCGGACATGATCTGTCTCTCTGTTCCCCGCAGCCCAGACGTGCCCCCACAACATGCAGTACCACGAGTGCCACTCGCCCTGCACAGACACCTGCTCTAACCAGGAGCACTCCCGGGCCTGCGAAGACCACTGTGTGGCCGGCTGCTTCTGCCCTGAGGGTGAGGCTCCGGCCCCGGAAACACAGCTGTGCCGGGAACTAGGGGGCTGTGCTCCCGCAGCCAAGCCTCAAGAGAAGGACCCCAGCCCCCGGTGTCCCGGGCCCCTGAGGCTGGCTGAGGCCCTGTCCCGGGACCCTGAGGCTGGCTGAGGCCCTGTCCTGAGACCCTGAGGCTAGCTGGTCCCTGTCCCGGGCCCCTGAGGCTGGCTGAGGCCCTGTCCCGGGCCCCTGAGGCTGGCTGAGGCCCTGTCCCGGGCCCCTGAGGCTGGCTGGTCCCTGTCCCGGGCCCCTGAGGCTGGCTGAGGCCCTGTCCCGGGCCCCTGAGGCTGGCTGAGGCCCTGTCCTGAGTCCCTGAGGCTGGCTGAGGCCCCAGCTGGCTGTAGGGCTGCCATGTCATTCCCTTGCAATGCCCCTGCGTGGACACAGTGGGGACCTCTCACAGGCCTGCCTGAACCCCGCAGGGATGGTGCTAGATGACGTCGGCCAGACCGGGTGTGTGCCTGTGTCGCAGTGCGCCTGCGTCCACAACGGGGCCGTCTATGCCCCGGAGGCCACCTACTCTACAGACTGTACCAACTGGTAGGTCCCGGACCCCCTCCAGACCCCCAGGATGTGCTAGGGAACAGCCCCCAGGAACTGCCGGCACTCATGGCCTGGGCTGCGAGGCAGGCAGGCCTGGGTGAGACCTCCTCCTCCTGACGCGGAGGCTGAGGCTGGTGTCCCGGGTCCGGCACCCATGCGGCACCGTCTCTCGCCCTCAGCACCTGCTCCGGAGGCCGGTGGAGCTGCCAGGAGGTCCCGTGCCCGGGCACCTGCTCTGTGCTTGGAGGGGCCCACTTCTCGACGTTCGACGGGAGGCACTACACGGTCCATGGGGACTGCGGCTATGTGCTGACCAAGGTACAGCCTGGGTGCACAGCGCTTGCCAGACAGGGGGATGGCCTGGGTGCTGGGTGTTCGCCAGACAGAGTGGGGATGGCCTGGGTGTTCGCCGGACAGTAGGGTTACAGCCTGGGTGCTGGGTGCTCACCGGACAGAGAGGGGATGGCCTGGCCGCCGTGCGCTTGCTGGACAGAAGGTGCCCACAGCTAGCCTCCCATAGGTTCCCCCATCCCAGGCTGTGTGTCACTGCAACCCCGGGGGTGACCTTTGGGGGTCCCTGACAGTGAGACCTCAAGGAAGCACCCCAGCTCCCCAGTGCTGGTCCCCATGGGGCCATGGGGACTGCAGATGAGAGCCTCCAGCACCCACCCAGCACCCTGGCCCCCAATCAGCACCCAGCCTTCCTAATCTTGAGCCGTTTAACAGACTTTACTGTTGAGAATAGAATTAGGTTTAAAGAAACTGAGTACAAAGTACTCCCAACCCAACACACCCAATGGGGATGAGACCCTGCACCCAACACAGTCTCCCATGATGAGACCCATGAAGTGTGTATGTGTCCACCGGCACCCCTCCCTCACCCTCCCCACCCCTCCCTCACCCTCCCCACCCCTCCCTCACCCTCCTCACCCTCCTTACCCCTCCCTCGGCCTCCTCACCCCTCCCTCGGCCTCCCCACCCCTCCCTCGCCCAGCCCCTGGCAGCTGCTGGCATTTGCACCTTCTGAGCACTGCCTTCCCAGAGGGTCCTGTGGCTGGCTTCACAGAGTGTGGTCTCGCCAGCTGCCTCTTGCCCAGGGTGCATGCCGAGTCCTCTGTGTGCCTGTGTGTCCGCATCTGGGGGGCTCCTGAGCACACCTCTCTCTTGGGGCCTGGGATGGGGGAGTGGGGGTTTCCAGTGAGGGAGAGGAGTACAGGCGGGCAGAAGGGCAGGGCCAGGCGGGCTGTGGGTGCAGTGGAGTGAGGACCCCAGGGGAGGGCTATGGGTGCAGTGGAGTGAGGATCCCAGGGAGAGCTGTGGGTGCGGTGGAGTGAGGACCCCAGGGGAGGGCTATGGGTGCAGTGGAGTGAGGACCCCAGGGGAGGGCTGTGGGTGTGGTGGAGTGAGGACCCCAGGGGAGGGCTGTGGGTGCGGTGGAGTGAGGACCCCAGGGAGAGCTGTGGGTGCGGGTGGAGTGTGAGGACCCCAGGGGAGGGCTGGGCAGAGTGTGAGGACCCCGGCGTGCCCTGTCCCGCAGCCCTGTGACAGCAGCGCCTTCACTGTGCTGGCCGAGCTGCGCAGGTGTGGGCTGACGGACAGTGAGACCTGCCTGAAGAGCGTGACGCTGAGCCTGGATGGAGCGCGGACGGTGAGTGGAGCCTGGCAGGGCGGCCCCGGACAGGGACCAGGCCTGTCTCCTCTGCAAGTTGGTCCTGCCCAGGTCCCTCCTCCCTGGCATGAACAGCGAGAGGCGGGGCCCTCCGGCAGCACTGGCTGTGTCCGTTACTGACTGACTGTCCCTAAAGGAAACGGCTCAGTGTCCCCTGGCTGCCATAGCTGACCTAAGGGGCCCCAGGCAGGAGGGACTGGGTGGGCGCATCTGCGGCCAGCATGGCTTCTCCACTGAGGTCAATTTCTGTTTAGTAAATCACTGTTTTTACTAAAGAATAAAAAGCATGGTCCTCACAGAAAACTCAGAAAATCAGGTGAGCACGAGGCCAGCTTGCAGGACCTGCAGCTGCAGGCAAAGGCCTCCGGGCACCTGCAGGCACATCTCACGGCCTCCGGGGTCTGGCTGCGGGAGCCTGCCCCGCGCTCACACGTCCGCCCGGCCGCCGCAGGTGGTGGTGATCAAGGCCAGTGGGGAAGTGTTCCTGAACCAGATCTACACCCAGCTGCCCATCTCTGCAGGTGAGGGCGGCGGCCTCATCCCCACCCCGGGGCCACCTGGGGTCCTGCCACGCACCCCCCACAAAACGCTTGTCCTATGTGTCCCCAGCCAACATCACCATCTTCAGACCCTCGACCTTCTTCATCATTGCCCAGACCAGCCTGGGGCTGCAGCTGGACCTGCAGCTGGTGCCCACCATGCAGCTCTTCGTGCGGCTGGCACCAGAGCTCCGCGGGCGGACCTGCGGTAAGAGGGCCGCCTTCGGGCCGGAGCTGACCCACTCTGCCGGGGCCATCGTCCTCAACCTGCCTTCCCCGCCCCCAGGTCTCTGTGGGAACTTCAACAGCATCCAGGCCGATGACTTCCGGACCCTCAGTGGGGTGGTGGAGGCCACGGCCGCGGCCTTCTTCAACACCTTCAAGACCCAGGCCGCCTGCCCCAACGTCAGGAACAGCTTCGAGGACCCCTGCTCCCTGAGCGTGGAGAACGGTGAGTGTGTGTCTGTCCACCGGCTCAACTCCATGCTGGCCGCGGGGTGCTGGTTCACCCACTTCCATCTGGTGCCGCAGGCAGCGTGGAGGCCTGTGAGCCAGGCAGGGTGGCTCACGAAGGGGCCCTAGGACAGGCTCCTGGTGGGCACCTCACCGGCTTATGTGGATCCTCAGGAATGGGGGGCCCCTGCTTCAGGGTAAAAGAAAGAAGTTACTGTGGGCCGACATTGACCCTGACCATCCACCTCTGCACTGGACAGGGCGGTGGGGACCTGGGGAATGGGTTCACCCACTCACCCACTCACCCACTCACTCAGTCAGTCACCCACTCACCCACTCACTCAGTCACCCACTCACCCACTCACCCACTCACCCACTCACTCACCCACTCACTCACCCACTCACCCACCCACTCACTCACCCACTCACCCACTCACTCACTCAGTCACTCAGTTACCCACTCAGTCACTCAGTCACCCACTCACCCACTCACTCACCCACTCACCCACTCACTCACCCACCCACTCACTCATCCACTCACCCACTCACTCAGTCACCCACTCACTCACTCATCCACTCACTCACTCACCCACTCACTCACCCACTCACCCACTCACTCACTCACTCACTCACCCACTCATTCACTCACTTACATAGTCACTCACCTACTCACTCACTGAGTCACTCAGTCACTCACCCAGTTACCCACTCACTCAATTACTCACTCACTCACCCAGTCACTCACCCAGTTACCCACTCACTCAATTACTCACTCACTCACCCACTCATTCAGTCAGTGACTCAGTCACTAATTCAGTCATTCATTCCACCCTCGGAGTTCGGGCAGCAGCCGTGGGGATTTGGGATCCCGTCTCACTGGTTTCGGCCGCCTTCCCTCCTTCTTGCAGCCTGGGATGCCAGGGTCCAGCAAGTCCATTGGAGGGGCCAGGAGGGCCTCGGCTTGTCTGCCAGTGGTGGTTACTAGCGTCCCTGGAAGGCAGTGCTGTGAGAGGCCGTGAGGGGCTGGGCGGGGCATGCAGGAAACCAGGGAGACCTCCGCTCCAACATCGTGCCCTGTACTTGGGGGGCTTTCCCTTGGGGACGGTGCCACATCGCCCAGGCTGAGTGTGTGGCAGGGTGAAGTGCCCAAACTTCACACCAAGGCCAAGCTGGGTAGGTGAGTGTGCCGACCTTAACCCTGACCCTCCTCTGTCCACAGAGAAGTATGCTCAGCACTGGTGCTCACAGCTGACCGACACTGACGGCCCCTTCAGCCGCTGCCACGCGGCTGTGAACCCAGCCACCTACTACTCGGTACGTCTGCCGCCCCTGGGCTCGGTGGGGCTCCGGCCACCGGGCTCGAGGCTGCCTCTGGGAGGCTGGGAGGCCACAGGGGGGCTCAGCAGGCAGGACCAGCCTTTTTAGGCTGTGATGGGCACCGGGGGCTGGGACTCAGCCTGTCCAGCTCCATTCCCCATGTCCCCACTCACCCATTCACCCACCCACTCACCCCAGTCACTCACCCATTCATCCACCCACTCACCCACCCACTCACCCATTCACCCATTCACTCACTCACCCACCCATTCACACATTCACTCGTTCACCCACTCATGCATTCACCCACCCACTCACCCATTCACTCACCTATTCATCCACTCACCCACTCACCCATTGACCCACTCAGTCACTTATGCATTCACTCACCCACTCACTCACCCATTCACACATTCACTCATTCATTCACTCACTGATTCACTCATTCACTTATTCACTCACCCGTTCATTTACTCATTTCTTCACTCATTCATTCATTTACCCACTCACTAATTCCTTCACCTACTCATTCATCCGCACACTCATCCACTTACTCACTCCCTCATTCATTCTTTCAGTCACTCATTCATTCACCACTTTTATAGAGTTTTTCTTGCACCTCCAGCCCTACGCTAGGCACAGGGGCTACACCCCAGGTGTTTGTTGCCAGTTTGGCCACAGGGGCCAAATGGGAATTAGGCCAAGTCTGAGCTGATGTGCCACGTCTGCGGCAAGCTAGGCATGGCTGGAGCTGTTGGGTCACAGGGATGAAGGACCTGGTCCCCCTAGTGCCCGCTACTTTCCATGATGGTTCTGCTCCATGCCCTGCAGGTCTGCTGAGGGGACGGGATGCCCATGAGGACTCTGGGAGGGGTCCCAGAGGCATGAAGACCTGGGATGGGAGGTCGTGGGAGGGCACCAGGTGCGGCTGGGGTCCCTGACGCCACCCTCCCCGCAGAACTGCATGTTTGACACCTGCAACTGTGAGCTCAGCGAGGACTGCTTGTGTGCCGCCCTGTCCTCCTACGTGCACGCCTGCGCCGCCAAGGGCGTGCAGCTCAGCGGCTGGAGGGGTGGCATCTGCAGTGAGTGCCCGCCAAGCCCCACCCCTCTCCTTCGCTGGGTGGCTGTGGGTCTTGGGGTGCCCCTGGTGTGCACAGGTGCACTAAGGGTCCCCGTCCTCTGTGCTGGGCTCCAGGGCAAGGACGCCCAGGTCAGCTGGCCTTGGACCCTGCCAGGGAGGGGAAGGGAGGGGAGAGGAGGGAAGGGGACGGGAGGGGAGCTGAGAGGCCCGGCTCACTCGCTGCTGGCTGTCCACCGCCGGGCTCCGTGTCCTGAGAATCCCCTCTTCCTGGCATCCCGCAGCAAAGCCCACGACCACCTGCCCCAAGTCAATGACCTACCACTACCATGTCAGCACCTGCCAGCCCACCTGCCGCTCCCTGAGTGAGGGGGACGTCACCTGCAGTGTGGAGTTCGTCCCTGTGGATGGCTGCGTCTGTCCTGAGGACACCTTCCTGGATGACACGGGAAAGTGTGTGCCGGCCACCAGCTGTCCCTGCTACCACCGCGGCTCCGTCATCCCCAGCGGGGAGTCAGTGCACGACAGCGGGGCCATCTGGTGAGAGCTCCTGCCATGGGCTGGGGGTCCCTGGTTCCCATTGGCCCGGAGTGAGGCTCTGACCACTGTCTCCTCACAGCACCTGCACGCACGGGCAGCTGAGCTGTATCGGAGGCCAAGCCCCCACGCCAGGTGAGTGCCAGGGAGGAGGCACTGTGGCCCCCACCTCATCATCTCCATAAGAAGTCCTGAAAAGTGGCTTCAGAGTTGGTCCCACCCAGTCAATGGGGCTGGTGGCTGTCGGTCAGCAGCTCAGTGCCATGCATGGTGTGTGCCCTCTAGGCAGCAAGGGGGAAGGAGGGAGGGTGAGGGCGCACATGTGACACTCCGATCACACACACACTCATGCATACACACTAATGTACACACATTCACACACCCACTTATGCACACGCACATGCATGCACGCCCACTAACACCCAATCATGCACACATGACACACCCACTCACGCCCACTCACGCACACACACACCCACTCACACATACACGCACGGCAGAGACACGTCCTCCCCCACGCATGGTGGAGGCCCCTCAGCAGCCTGTGGCTGGTCCCCTGACGGCCCCTCTCTGCCCAGTGTGTGCTGCGCCCATGGTGTTCTTTGACTGCCGCAATGCCACGCCCGGAGACACAGGGGCTGGCTGTCAGAAGAGCTGCCACACCCTGGACATGACCTGTGTAAGCCCCTGGGGACTCCCCAGTGACAGGCCCTCCATCGCCCCCACCGCCTGCTAAGGTTGCCTGCCCTGGGGTGGGCGGCAGCAAGCCTCTGACACAGGAGGCCAAGGGCTGCCCCACGTCCCGGAGGACCCCTGCCCACATGCCCCCCAGGCTCCCTAGTCTTGCGGCCCCTCCACTGTGGTGCGGTCGAGCTGTCCCCGGGAGGACCTGGGAGGCCCCGTGCCCCACCCCGTCACTCAGCGGTGTCTGCTGGCTCTACAGTACAGCCCCCAGTGCGTGCCCGGCTGCGTGTGCCCCAATGGGCTGGTGGCGGACGGCGAGGGCGGCTGCATTGCTGCAGAGGACTGCCCCTGTGTGCACAACGAGGCCAGCTACCGGGCCGGCCAGACCATCCGGGTGGGCTGCAATACCTGGTATGAGGGCACTCATGGAGGGTGTCCGGCCTGGGTACCAGAGGGCCTCGTCAAAGACGGGCGAGCCCCCAGCACAGCGGTCCTGGGAAAATGAGGGCACAGACTCAAGTCAGTTGCCCCTGGCAGCCCCAGCCAGAGAGGCCCATGGCGGGTGTTGGGTCCGGGTACCAGAGGCCATCCTTAGAGACAGGCGAGCCCCTAGCACAGCGGTCACAGCGGTCCCAGGAAAACACAGGGCACAGGCTCAGTGGGGGGACGCCCCTGGCAGCCCCAGCCCGTGGGCACGTGTCTGTGGTGCCAGGTCCCCCTGGGGCTAGGAAGGCTGCACCTGGCTAGGCAGGCCCCCTGTGGGCGCTCTGGCCTGACCCCCAGCTGTCCCCCAGCACCTGTGAAAGCAGGATGTGGCGGTGCACAGATGACCCCTGCCTGGCCACCTGCGCTGTGTACGGGGACGGCCACTACCTGACCTTCGACGGGCAGAGCTACAGCTTCAACGGAGACTGCGAGTACACACTGCTGCAGGTGAGCCGGCGTCCTGGGGGCCTCACGGCCGCTCGCCGCCTCTCCGCGGCAGCTGCCCCAGGGTGTCCCCACCCCAGCCTACTTGTGGGAAGGAGAGCAGGGCCAGCCTGGTCCCTGACGGGCTCTGCTTCCGCAGAACGACTGTGGCGGGAACGGAAGCGTGCAGGACTCCTTCCGTGTCGTCACGGAGAACGTCCCCTGCGGCACCACGGGGACCACCTGCTCCAAGGCCATCAAGATCTTCCTGGGGGTGAGCGAGGCTGGGTGGTCGGTGCCCTGGGGGAGGCTCCCACAGCAGCGTCTGGCCAGGTGGACTGGGGTTCTCACCGGGGGCGCTGAGTGACCCTTGCCGTGCAGGGCTCCGAGCTGAAGCTGAGCCACGGGAAGGTGGAGGTGATCGGGATGGGCGAGGGGCAGGAGGTGCCGTACGCCATCCGGCAGATGGGCATCTACCTGGTGGTGGACACGGACGTCGGCCTGGTGCTGCTATGGGACAAGAAGACCAGCATCTTCATCAGCCTCAGCCCCGAGTTCAAGGTAAGACCATGGCCCTTGCCCCGGCCAGAGCTGGCTGGAAACCTGTGGTGTTGGGGGGCGTGGAACAGGTGGGCAGAGATGGGAGGCACAGAGACACAGGGAGAAACACAGAGGCGGAAGGGCTGGGAAGGGGAGGACGGAGCCTTGGCAAAGGCAGCCGCTCAGGAGGCTCCTTGCCCGGGTGTCCGTGTTCTGGGGCTGCGGCAAAGGCCCGCCCTGGTGGATTTGCTCACAGCCTGGATACTGGAGTCCAGCAGGGCATCCGCAGGGCCAAGCTCTCCTGGGAGACTCTGGGGGGCTCCTCCTGGCCTGTTGGGAATAGATGCTCAGTGCTGCAAAGAAAAATCATCACTGAGACAAAGGCTCTTTCAGCAACGCAACTTTTACTTCCTGGGCTGCAGAAAGGGGACCCTCGCTAGCCATTGAGCCATGACAGTACAAAGAACAAAGGAAGACACACACATTTATCCCTCACGCACTTGGGGTCGTCCTCACCGCTGTGTCTGGTCTCTGTTGGCTGCAGCCACACCTCACAATCTAAACTAAACCCGACTGGTGAACAACTTAAAACTTTTCTAAACAGGTGAAAGCAGTGGAGAGCTGGGACATGCCTGTGAGCACGTCCAGCACAGATACCTTGGTGGAAGTACAAGGACACAGAATGTACTACGTGCCTGTGAGCATGGCGTGTCTGACAGCTCCATAGGACAGGGCTTTACCAAGTTATTAGCTCATTTATGACAAGAAAGGAAACTTTAAAAAGGAACTTTTCCACTTCCAATATGGCCCCTTGCATCTGCTCCTTGGCTGAGGCCACGAGCTCGGACGGCTGCCTGTCTTCCCGCGGCCTCCTCCCTGTGCCTGGGTCTAAGTTTCCTCCTTTACAAGGACACCCGGCACTGAATCCAGGGCCCGTCGCCTTTACGCATGACCCTCCATCTGCCAGGCCCCATTTCCCAGCGAGGCACCACACACAGGCGTGGGGTCAGGACGCGAGTGGGTCCTTTGAGGCCACGCCGGCTCCTCTTTCTCCAGGAGGGGCTTGTGCCTAGCCCTGGCCCTCCGTGCTCGGTGGCAGTGCCCGGGGGTCTCCGCAGGTGTAGCTGGAGGCAGGAAGGAGGAAGCGGCGCCTGTGGTCGTGGTCCGCTGCCTGGGTAGGAGGCGGCGGCCTCGGGGCAGGGCCCCTGGCCTTCCAGGCTTGCCTGCAGCCACCCCCCTGTTGCTGGATGCCTCTGCAGGGCAGGGTCTGCGGCCTGTGCGGGAACTTCGACGGCAATGCCAACAACGACTTCACCACGCGGAGCCGGTCCGTGGTGGGGGATGCGCTGGAGTTCGGGAACAGCTGGAAGCTCTCCCCGTCCTGCCCGGACGCCACGGTGCCCAAGGACCCCTGCACGGCCAACCCCTTCCGCAAGTCCTGGGCCCAGAAGCAGTGCAGCATCCTCCACGGCCCCACCTTCGCCGCCTGCCACGCACATGTACGCTGGCCGGGGTGGGGGGCTTTTCCCCGACCCAACAGGTCGTGGTGACCCAAGGAGGCCCCAGAAGGGGCTGGGGCTGGGACTGGGGCTGCAGGGCAGCCGTCCATGGGTGTGGACTCCCCCAGAGGCGCCGGTGTCAGCTGTGATTTCAGGGCCAGGGTGGTAGTTCACCTCGGAGTGGCCGAGGAAGCCCCAGACCCTGCAGACATCCGGACGGGCCCAGCCGGCCACCCGCGGAAGGGCGTTTGCTCTCCTTGAGCTCCGCTGGACCTGGGCCCGGTTGTTGTGCCGTGTGGGTCCGGTCCCCAAAAACCCACAGGAGGGTGGAGTCCCAGGAGCTGTGCCCCGTCTCCCGCAGGTGGAGCCGGCCAGGTACTACGAGGCCTGCGTGAACGACGCGTGCGCCTGTGACTCGGGGGGCGACTGCGAGTGCTTCTGCACGGCTGTGGCCGCCTACGCCCAGGCCTGCCACGAAGTGGGGCTGTGTGTGTCCTGGAGGACCCCCAGCATCTGCCGTGAGTGGAACTGGAAGCGCCAGCAGGGAGAGCCCAGCCACACGTGCCACTGACGGGGCGGGAGGGTTCCCAGAGAAACAAGAACACCTCGGCCCAGAGAGGAGGGCATGGCCGGTGGAGCGGTGACCGGTGGAGGGGTGGCCGGTGGAGGGGTGGCCGGTGGAGGGGTGGCCGGTGGAGCGGTGGCC